AAAAAAAAAAAAAAAAAAAAAAAAACACATCATAGTAAAATTAATACCTTCTCCGCTTCGCATCGAAGCTAAAAAATAAATGCATACAACAGTGATTATTACTGTACGGCGACATCTTTGATGTTTAAAATATGCTTACCTAAGCGTCTGGTAGGCAATGATAAAAATTCTTAGAAAAAGATAACTTTGATAAAACGCAGACAGCAATTATAAAATGTAGACGGTAATGTGGGTTATAATATGGCGGTTGGTTTCAAGGTTGGCTTCATTACCCCTTCGCTCATTAGGACTTGTTGAAGAGATCCCCCTCCCCCGACATAGGTTAGTTTTCATTGGGTTTCACCCATTGTGCACACCTCACACCCAATTGTCTTAATAGAGTTCGTTCAAGGAATAGTCAAGGAAAAGTGTGGTGGCGACGGCCGCTACATGACGTACACTATTTCAATGTAATGTTTACATTTAATGTTAAACGTAGTGATGACTCTTGGGTGCTGGTGGTGGGGGTGCGACTTTAAGTGTAATACCGCTAGTTATAGGTATAAAAATTGTCAAATTAAATATAATATAATAAAATGCAATACACATATTATTATTTTAAAGGCGCAGTAAAAAAAAATAATAATAATAGCGATTATATTATTATACCATCGGTGGGTGGGTGGGTGAAAGGGTGAGGCGGGGGGCCTAGAATTCCCAATATTACCCTACTTATGTATTATAATTTTCAATAAAAACTGTTTTTTTTGTTTTCAACTGTTTTGACTGTGAAGTGAAAATAAAAGTTTTCTGTTGTGATATACATATTATTTTCTGACTTGTTTTTATAATTTGTTATTTAAATGTTAAAGATGTTTTGGAAGTTTTGCCTAATCAGGTAGGTATTTATATTTTTGATTGTATGACACTTTTTCCAATTCATCTTTCATGTTAAATTTTATTACACGGGTAAATTCCAATAATTATAGTTGTAGGTATATGGACAATATATTAGTGTATCAGTTTTCAAAAAATTGAAATATCAATATAATAATAAATTAACTAATTTATATTTTGAGAACCAATTTTTAACTTTGTTTTGGAACACTGAAATCATTATTATATTATTATATCCTTTCCACATTTATTTATAGTTTTGTTATCAATAATTTTCTATTATTATACCAATATGTATATTTATTGTGATCGGCCGACTCGAGTCTCAGTAGCAGCTAATAGTAAAAACGTGTTTTATAGTTTAAAATTAATAATTATTATTTGATTGTTTTATACATGAATTTAATTTTTACACTTGTAAGTTGTATTTATTTCATATCCGTAGTCGATTCAAAACTACAATGGACAAGTTTCTTGTAAAAATATCGAAGTCGAAAGTAAGTGTATATTTTTACTTTAAATAAATTTAATTGTTAAATACACATATTTAGTATACATTAAGTTAAAAGTAGCCCTTAAAATATATTACTGATTTATATTATATTAAAACTACAATTTTGACAAATACCACAATATAATTTGTTAAATTATAGATCAAATATAAACTTTATATTTGATCTGTAATTTAATTTTATATTAATTATTAAGGTAATGTTATATTATTCATCAAATTTAATTTATTTTGGTATATATTTTTTTTACTATTTTGGTACTAAATGTTGTACCTGCTTATTAGAAAAATACTAAAACAAATGCTAAGGAAAATTTTAGCTTATCTGAAGTAAACCTCCATTCCACAGGAAAAAGATCATAAATGGTAAATATAACAATTTCATATCATATATTTAAGTAGTAGTCATATACAATTTATTACAAATTGAAATTATATTTAAATTAATTTAATATCATTAAATATTTAAGGATATTTTTATATTTTATACTTCTACCTTAATTTAAAGTGAAAATTCTGTAACTAGTTGTCTACGTTAAATAAGTAATAGTAAATATTTTAAATTTAATTTATTTTGTAAAATAAATAGATGGATATAGATAGCCTTGTCGTTGATAATAATTTGAGTTTGTCCATCACTTCTAACCAGTTATCTAGATCAAATGAAACAAAAATAACAGGTAAAAATGTTTAATATGTTTTAGTAGTTTTTCCAGTGGGGCATAAGTAATTATCAATTTATATTTTAATGAAGGTAACCACTAAACTTAACCATCGATATATGATATTGGTTTATATGTAAAATCTACATCAAATGTAAGTGATGAAGAAAAAATTGATATTTTACACCATGTATGGATTCCGGTTGCAAAATTTAATTTTCCTATTACAGATAATGGTAAATTTAAACGATCATTCCAGTTGAAGTGGATTGACACATTTCAGTTGCTGGCTTATTCAAAAATTAATGAAGGTTGTTTTTGTAAGTTTTGTGTACTATTTTTACGCTTTCATAATGTTGGTAAAGGTTCTAATAATTCTGTTGGTACACTGGTTGTAAAACCTCATACCAATTCAAAAAATACCCTNTTCTGTTGGTACACTGGTTGTAAAACCTCATACCAATTCAAAAAATGCCCTTGAAACTTTTAGAAACTATAATAAAACTACTGAAAATCATATATCAATTTTTGATAAAAAAAAAAAAAAACAATATAATAATACAGTTAAATACACAACGAGCCAAGGATATTTTAATGAATCGTGAAAAAATAAAACTAATAATCCAGACAATTAGGCTTTGTGAGAGATAGCAAATATCTTTGAGAGGATATGAAGATTGGGATCGTATAACAATGAATGAACCTGAAAAAATGATGGTAATTTTCGAAGTCTATTAAGATACCGTGTTAATAGTTGTGATACTATTTTAAAAGAAAATTTAGAAACTTCTTGTTCCAGAGAGTTGTATACTAGTCCTATTATACAAAATGAAATTATAGCTATATTTGGTAAACTTATTCAATCTCATTTAGTAAATGCAATTTCAAAATCAGAATTCTATACAGTTCTTGCAGATGAAACCACAGATATAACTCAGATAGAGCAGTTTTCATTGTGCATAAGATATTTTGATAAAACACTAATGAAAATTAGGGAAGATTTTCTTACATTTATTCCAGTTCACGATGTAAATGGTTTAGGGTTGGCCACTATATTAAAAGATACATTAGAAAACCTTGGCTTAGATTTAACTAAATTGCGTGGGCAAGGTTATGATGGGGCTGCAACTATGCGAGGCAGCTTTTGAGGAGTTCAAGCTATTGTTAAAGAAAAGTATCCTAAAGCATTATATACCCATTGAGTTTTTCAATCATTAAATCTTTGTTTCTCAGATACAACTCTTTTATATTTATATTTATATTATTATTTTAAAATTAATTTAATAAGTAAATAATTAACTTTAAATTTAAGGCAGGAGTATTTGTTGTTTTATAAATAACTTGCTAGTACTTAAAAAAGTTACAGTAAAATTATTATTTTTATACATATTATGTCTACATACTTCTTCAATGGCTTGTTTAAAGATTTCAGCTGTCAGTTAACAAATATTTTTATTATTTTTTTGCTTACAATTGAGAATTGTATATTTATTACTACAGTAAAACCTTGATAAAGCATAATAAATTCTGTTCCCTCAAATCTTTTTTACTCAAAATTACTCAAAAAAAAAAGTTTAGTAAATACAAAGAAATTATTTGTAGTTTTATTTGGATAGATAAGATATTATAATGTTTCAGTGTAAATTGAATTTCGATAGTGATTAATATAACACAATGCTTCGTTTTTTAAATAGTATAAGGAGAAAAATAATGAAAAAAAAAGGAAAAATTTTCTACATTTATAATTTTTTTGTCAAAAATATGAAAATGACAAATTGTGACGTGGTTTTTATATAACAAATTCTTTATTATAAAACCTTCGATAAAATTAATTAATTGATTATTGTAAATTAATTATTAGTTTGATTTTTTTCATAAGTACACCCTATATTTGCAGCTAATCCCGTAATTTCTTTTAAACTATCAAAATTAACACGATTAGAATATTTGTCAGCCTTATTTGGATATTTATTTAGAATTGAACGTTTTTTCACGCTTCCTCCAGCTGATAATTTAATGGTACATGGTTTATCTAAATAACTATATTTCTACAAATAAAAATAGTATAAATGTCTAATTAATTTTTATATTTTAAACGTCTAAATAAATAATAGTCAAACGTTTCATTATACCTAGCTCTGAAAATTAAAAATTCTTAAACTTAATATAGCGTTAATTATTAGGATTTAGTTCATAAAATGCTTGAGTAGTATATTTTATTAGCGTATTATTTAAAGGATTCAGTAAATTTATTTCTAGGTAAATAATATTTTTATACTTTTTAATTTCATTAAAGCAATAATCTTGATTAAAATCTAAATTTTTTTTATGTTAAATAACTTTTGAATAAATTGTTTAATTATTTAATAAAACTTTATTTACTGATTGTTTCAACATCCAAATATTACCGCAAGTGTCATCAATTATATGAATCATTGACTTTAACATTTGTCTAATATAATAAGCATCACCTACATTTACCTTAAATCGTGTAAGAATATCTATTATTTCACATAACTTTTTATTAAGTTTAATCATAGGTATTTCACTTGTCAAGTTATCTGATGAATTTTTATGCGATACTTGATGAACGTTATAGTCCACTTCTAAAAGAATTGAAGTTAAATTGAATAATATTTAAGTAAACAACTTGTGCATAATTAATATTTTAATTTATGAGCTTAAATTATTTATTATAATTATTTAGTATCATGTAGTTAATATTCAATACTAATTAATTTCTATACTGTCAACTGCTGCTTATGAGCCTGAAATTAAGATACTAAAAGGTAGGGATGAATTGCAAAATAGATTCAAAAGTAGTGTAAAGTTGGATTATAAACTAGTAAATTTGTATAGACAATTATAGCTATCTAATATTATATTTTTAGGATTTTATAACTACCAGAGATTGAAACCGGTTTTTTGTAAACTAATTAAAACAGATTTTTTCCGGTTTTTCTAAATGAAACCATCTAAGGATCCAAAATCGAAACCGATTAATTTTTAAATTCGTAACTACCAACAAATCGAACGGTTTCAGTGCCTAATAAGTAGTAAATTGCAATTTCGATTTATTCATTCATTTGAATAATAATCTTCAAATATTTTATTTTAGCACCAATTGAACAAACTTTGTATACCAACAAATAATAATAACCCTGATTAAAACATTGCTATTTTGTATTAACAAAATAATGTCAATAGTTTTTAAAAAGGAATGTTTTTAAAACTTATTTTTTATATACACCTAAGAATGATACGTTAAAGGAATGACTTCTTAAAATTAAAAAAATTGTATATTTTTTTTTGGATTTAAATGTTATATATTAAAAAATGTAAAATTTTGATTAGTATTTTCAGCGACTATTATGATAAACAATGTTGAGGAAAAAATTAGATTTAGGGCAACTAAAAATAGCAGGATTGTCTTAAAACTTGAAATTTTCAGCCCATTTTTGTAAAATATTTATAAAAAGTATATTTTTATATTTACTATTAAAAACAACTGTTTTTTATTTTACTTGAATTATTATTTATTTTCTCTTTTTTGATTTTATCTCTACGATTAGTATTTAGTGAAGTTTTCATAACTAAATGATATTTTTCTGGAAAATCGCATTTATTTTTATTAATTTATATAGTGATCTTAATATAGTAAAAATAATTCTTATAAAAATGTTGAGTGTACCAATGTTTTTATCGCGTTTTGTTTTGTAACGAGCCCCTTCAAATTCAGTTAAATTAATTGAAGTTTCACTATTTTCAAACATTTTCATTCCTACAAAGAAACACTAGTAAAATCGTATACAAATAACAATTTTTATTACTTATTGAAATTTAAAAAATTATTGTAATTCATATTTTCATATATTTTAAATAGTAAAAAAATATTATATAAAAATATAAATTCTTACCATATTTTTCACTTAAATTTGAATCAGATTTATGAGCACACATACTTAGAATTAGAATTAAATTGCAATTAAGATTATACAATATAAAAAATATGTGCTTTTGTTTGCTTAAAATTAATAGTTTCTAGGCAATGGGAACAATTAAGTTTATAAACTATTCTTTTTGGTAAATGAATAAAAATTTGTTTAGAAAGGTTAGTGAGATTATTGTGCCTAATATATTGTATTCAAATTCAATTTCCCATACATGTCTGTCAAAATAAGAAATTTATTTTTGGTGATTCAAAATTATACTTAATTATAGCTATAAATATAAATGTAAATCGGTAGGAATTTGAACTCCATTTCTATAAATGGAGTATCAATTAATTAAAATAATGCTTTATGTATATGCTATATGCTAACTTTTTCATTTATAAATTATGTTGATAACTAATTAATATATATTTGAAGCCGTTATTACTGGAATTATTATACCCATCTGCAGTTAAAAAACATGCTATGTTTGTGTTTAATTTTTAGCTTCGATGCGAAGCTGAGAAGGTATTGGTTGGTTACTAAGATGTGTGTTTTTTTTTTTTTTGTGTCTGTTACCACATTTTCTCAGCTCTCACCGAACCGATTTCTTTCAATGATACGTCAAAAGATCACAAATCGTATCTAGTCGAAGACATTACCCTCAAAAATTGCTATAACTTTTAATTTCTTAAAATTGAACACTATCTACAGAATTGCATTAAAGCATTTCTTATGATAGTGATTTTAATCACTGTCAGATATCATCTATACTTGTCCTAACTATGCCACGTCCACACTGTACCGCGATCCTACTGTGCTAACATTTTTTATAATAATATCAGTTGTATACTAGAAACCTATATGTTGACTTATTCGTGTCGCCCGTACATATTACAAATTAAATGCAATGTTTTATTATAATGTGTATATTAAGATGGTCCTTAATGTATAGATGCTAAATTTTTTTTTCTTCAAAATTTAATCGGGCTACTACGGAATTTTTTCAAAACTATAAAAAAATAATTTGTGACAAATTTCATTAATTTTGGTCAACTTTAAGCCGTGCCTCAAGAGGGTTAAAAATTCAATTATGAGGGTAGTTTTTCAATAGTTGTTGTTTAACTCAATAGTTATGACTTTTACATAAAAGTTTATAAGAAAAAAATTGTAGATATAATTATTTTACATAAAAAAAGTTTTAACTAAAGAAGTCATATCTATAATCATATCTACAATTTTTTTCATATAAATTTTTATGTAAAAGTCATAAATTTTGAGTTAAACTACAATTATTGAAAAACTATCCTCATGATTGAATTTTCAACCCTCTTGAGGCACGGCTTAAAGTTAACCAAAATTAATGAAATTTGTCACAAATTATTTTTTTATAGTTTTGAACAAGTTCCGGGGGTAACCCGTTCAAGT